CAACCATGATATCTACAAAGTCAGGGGCACCGAGTCAGTGCTGCAATAACCCGTGTCTGGAGCAACCTAACAGGCTGGTTACTGCTGCCCAGGGAAGGGAGTTACAGAATGTCTTTATTTCACCTTCCTCAAGGTTTATTTCAGTTCCCCCTTCTGGCTGTCCCAAGAAGCCAAGAGCAGCAGGTGCTGTGCCTGCCCCCCATGAGCACAGAGCTGAGCAGCCCCCCTGACCCTGCCCAGGCCTCCGTCACTCAACTCACTTTCCACGTCACGGACACAGACCCCGTGGAGAAGGACAATGTGCTTGTGGGACACCTGCCTCATCATGCTGGCTGTTTCAAAGAATGCCTGTTGGGAAGGAAAGAATCATGGAATCACAGAATGCCAGGTTGGAAGGGACCTCAAGGATCATCTGGTCCAACTATTCTAGGTAACAATACAGTTGATAGGAGGTGGCTCAGCACCCTGTCCAGCTGAGACTTAACACTGTCCAATGTGGGGGAATCCACCACTTCCCTTGGGAGACTCTTCCAATGTTGGACTGTCCTCCTGGGGAAAAATTTACCTCTTGTGCCCATCTGGAATCTCCCCAGGAGCAACTTGTTCCCCTAACCTCTTGTCTTTTTCCATGGGACTCCTTGTAAATAGGGAGTCTCCATCTTGGTAGCCACCCTTTATCTACTGGAATGTGGTGATAAGGTCTCCCCTGAGCCTTCCCTTCTCCAGGCTGAACAAGCCCAGCTCTCCCAGCCTTTCCTCACGTGGCCTTTATTAATGGCTTTTCACAGTGAACCATGTCCAGGATTGTTTGTACCACCACAAACAAAAAGGAAAAATACTTGCCAAAGAAATGTCTCTGTGGCTGGGGTCCAAGACCTTGAGGAGCACTTTGATCTCTTTCTCATTCTGGTATCCTTCGTTCTCATCATCCTTGTAGTTGAGAATCCCTGAGTAAATCTGTGTCCTCGTCCCTCTTCCGAGGTGCTCACCCTAAGACATGACACACCAGGTATTTTTCAAACCAGGACAGGAAGCAAACAAGTGCAAATCTACAAAAATACTTCCATCTCCACCCCATTCTGCCTGAGTGGACTTGGCCCTCACTTCATTGAGTTACATGTAGACTTTAAATCATTACAGTGAGGAACCAGTGACAGCCTCTTCATCTTTGCTTGGCTGGTGTCTCTGAGCATCCTCACCCCTGCAGGTCCACCTGGTGTTAAAGGGCTCTTAGATCTCCATTCACATCAAACAGGTTGATTTAACCTTATTAGACTAAACACCAAATGAATAAATAATAACAGGTCTCTTACTGACAATAAGCTGCAATTGTTTCCAAAAGTTAAGAGGAAGTAATACTTCAATGGGACACTTTGTTTGGGAAAGCAATTTCCTCCTAAATAACCTGGGATGTGTTTGCAGGAAGCCTGCATGCTGACTGCAGATTAACCAATCAAAAAACAATCCACATCATCTATATTTGTCCTCCCCAGCCAGTCATGCAATTAAAAAAAAACCCAAAACTTTTTATTTCCCTGAAGATGATGTTGGATTTAAGAGCTCGGGTCCTTTAGAAATATTAAATGTGTTTTTATTTCAACTTTATACAACTGTTAGAATGTTTGGGTGCTAAATCAGTTTGGAACAGAGAATTTTTAATGGCAAGACTCTTCAGGGCTTGAATTTCACCCTTTTTTTAAACTATAGGATAGTATCTTAAACCTCAAGTTGCCTGTTTCTCTGCTGTATCAGGCTTTGAAAGATACAGCCACATTTAACAACAAAGAAGCTGGGAAAAGCAGCTCTTAAAACTTCCAAGACTTTTTAATGATGACCTTAGCAGCCATTAGAAAATTGCTCAAATGCCAATTTGATTCCTGGTGAAAGGCATTTCTTCCAAGTCTCTTTTCAACACAACAACACACAAACATTTAGAGTCTTCAGTAAGAGGCTTTAATACAAACAAAGATTCAAAAGAAGTTTTGCTGAGGAGAAAGGGGAGTGGAAAACCAGCCAGAATGGGGTGGTTTCATGTGGCTGGGCTGGCAGCTCCTCTGCAAGGATGAAACAGCCCAGTAGCCACTTACCTGTATGATTTCTTCCTTGAGGATTCGATGGAAACTCAGCTGCCCCAGGTGATAAACAGGCTGCCATTCCTGAGCCTTCTTGGTTGCAACCAGCAAGTTGGAGATTTCTGGAAGGCAAGGGAGGGGAAATGTTCTTTAAGGCTTTTCAGAGAGAACTGCATTCACCCTTCTCAGTCAGTAAAGGCTGAGAGACCTGGGCCTGTTTAGTCTGGAGAAGAGCAGACTGAGAGGGGATCTCACTCATGTCTGTAAGGATCTGAGGGGTGGGTGTCAAGAAGGAAGGACCAGTGGTGCCTGTGACAGGACAAGGGGCAATGGACACAAACTGGAACACAGGAAGTTCCACCTTAACATGAGGAAGAACTTCTTTACTATGAGTGTGACAGAGCCCTGGAACAGGCTGCCTAGAGAGGTTGTGGAGTCTCCTTCTCTGGAGACTTTTAAGACCCACCTGGATGCCTTTCTGAGTGACCTGCCCTGGCAGGGGGGGAGTTGGACTCAATCTCCAGAGGTCCCTTCCAACCCTGACAGTTCTATGACTCTATGTGCTCACTGCAAGGTAATTCCTCAAATGAATGAGGAGGAGAGAAAAAAGAAGAAACTTTGACTTCTGCTTAAGCAACTTCTATTCTTTCCTCAACACAGAAATCACTGCAGCAGATCTCCATGTTTTATATTATAGATAGAATGTCAGTATCAGCCATATTGGGGCTGCTGTTCAGAAACTGAGCAGTGTTCACTGCACAGAGGAGTGGCTGGGACTGAGCCTTCAGTTAGTCTTTGTGAATAAACAATTAAATATACAGATTGAAATAGCAGGAAAAAAGAAAAAAGAAAACCAGGGAAGAGGGAACAGAGTAGCCAAGATGACACACTGGATCCCAAGGGAAGTGATGCCAAAGAAAAGCTGAGGTGGGCAGTCACCCCCTTGACCCACTTTGTTCTGTTCCAAATGCAGCTGTCAAGTTGTGATCAAACTGTCAAAATGCTGCATGTCTCCATGCTGCTGACAACCACCAGTGTTGTTCAGAAGTGCTGCCAAGCTCAGTGTCACTCTACAGAGAGAACATTCTCCTCTAACACTGTCAGAACAAGCATGTAATTATTGTTGCCCAGTTACTCTCCTTCTTCTAACAGGAAACCATTATCTGATCAACACAACCATGCTGCTGTGTTTCCTCTTTCATATCAAACTCAGCTGCCAGGCACTTGTAGTTTACAGCAAACCATGTCACCCAGGGTTGGTGTGAAGTTTAACAAATGCACAATTGTCCCACCCCTCTCAACATCTGACCTCACAGATGGATCTACTGACAGCAAGCTGTCCTGCTTGCTAGCAGTTGGGGACCAAACCTTCCCTGCTGCTTCCTCAGGATTAAGAGAGTCAGGAAAGCTCATAATGGGAGCAAACAAGCTTCAAACCAGAGGCTGCAGCCCTCCTTGGCTAGAGGAACACAGCGTAATGTGTGGTGGCTCTGCCTGGCACGTGACTCAGTGGAGCAGAGGAAGCTTATATGGTCCCTGCTTCACAACAACCCTGCAGCCCATGACTCTGAGTCAGCTGTGACATTTTCTTTTTAAACACATCTGGGTGGATAAAGGGAAACCAGAACTTTTCTCAGTGTCACTTGAAGAGTTCACACAAACTAGAGAAGAAGCTGGTGCTCTAGAAGCTCCAACCCCTGAGCATCCTGTGCTGAGTTTCTAACATTAAAAGGAGACCCCACAAGCTTGCTCATGGTGCTTGCTTTGGTTTTTTGACAAGATTCCTTCTCCACGGAGAAGGAAAAACCTTCCTATTAACCACTGTTAAGTGATAAAAGAGTTTCAGAGACGAATCCAGAACAAACCAAAGACACTGAGAATGTCTCCTATTTCTGGAGTTTGTTTCCTTTCAACAACACATTGTGTTGCTTCTGTTACAGGACAGATTACCTCTGGGTTTTGGTTGGCAGCACCTCTTCAGCGTAAAGCTTATGTTGTCTGTCCGAAGCATTTGTCCTTTCAGGTGATCCATCAGCTCTTTTAAGGATGAGAAAGACTTGTTTGAACCATGCAGGAAGTACTCGCCCTTCTTCACTTCAATCTGAAAGTTCTTGTACTGGACTGAATTATTTATCATCTGGCATTACCAGGAAGAGGGGGAAAAAAAACAAAATACCCGTTATTGAAGTGAAAAAAAAGCCATAAAAGCTCCTCAAATGCCTTTCAAGATACATGTAGGACCAGTCAGTCATCTGCTCCTAAGATAAGGTCCTCTAATCAAACTCCACAGAAGTAGAAAAAATGCCCTAAAATTCCTATCACCTTCAGTCCCAGGAAGGCTCATCATAACAGACTGGAAGAGCAACAGACAGATGCAAATATCTAAGTTTAGATTCTGGCTTCTGTGTTTTGCAAAGCCTCAGAGCCAGCAGAAGCTCTGACCCTTCAGAAGGAACTTTCTCTTCACTCAGCCAAGAACTTCAAAATCTGAACCAGGGTTTCAAAATCTTAGCTTAAAAATAGCCCAACTGCCTTTCACAGCCCACACTGTTCAGCACGAGACAAGATTTCAGGCTAGTGATCAGACCTTCCAGTTTCATTCAGAGGAGCTGGGGAAGAGCAACTGAACTTTCCTACTCTGCTCTCCCAAGCTCATAGAATAATAGAATGGTTTGGGTTGGAAGGGACCTAGACCATCATCTCATTCCAACCCTCCTGGAGGGGGAACAGTGCAGACCCTGGCCCAGGTTGCCCAGGGAAGCTGTGGCTGCCCCATCCCTGGCAGTGTTGAAGGGCAGGTTGGATGGGGCTTGGAGCAACCTGGGCTGGTGGGAGGTGTCCCTGCCCATGCAGAGGGTTGGGACTGGATGATCTTGAAGGTCTGTTCCAACCCAAACCTTCTATGATACAGCACAAGTGTCTGGAGAAAATGAAGTACAATCATCTACCCTCTGCTGCACCAGCTACCAACAAAGATAAGGGGGATGGCTCTTTGATAAACATATCAACATGGATTACTGCTGGGCTTCAGCTCAAGCTCAGCTTCCTGTTGGGATTGTCCCACCTGACGTACCTCAGAGCCTTCAAGGCAAGTCACAGTCATGAGGATGTGGTTGAAATTGGTGCAGCTCCACCTCAACACATACATTCCCACCTCGTTCCCCTCCTGGCGCAGTTTGCTGATGGCGTATTCCGTGCTGGAAGAGGAGAAACAGGGAATGAGCAGCTGCAGCCAAAACCTATTATTAGTAAATACCCAGGAGACCAACCCTGTATTTGGAGAACAGCAACTTAGAAATATTTATACTGTTATTCCAACATTTGTCTTCATTAGACAGGCTCACATTCGGCTGCAAAAGAGCAAGAGAAGAGTGTTGGGTGAAGCTCTCAGTGTGCTCAGGGGGACACGCTGCTCCAACACACCAGGCACCCAAGCTCTCCCTTTTCCACATGCCCCATCTTCCAACAGAAAGGGAAAAGCCAAAAAGGAGGGAAGAAGGAAAAATACTTGCTTCAGCTACTTTAAAAAACCCAAGGTTTTGTGCCTCCATCTGAGGACTCCCAGGATCAGTGCAGATACAGTTCAGCTTGGTTTACCCAGAATAATCCCACCTGTTCAGCCAACAATGACCTTTCCAGCTGTTAGTGAAGTGAGCCTCAAAACCCTCCTGTAGTGGGGTGTCCTGGTTTGAGCCAGGACGAAGCCAATTTTCCTGGTGACATGAGGACACACTGGTTTTCTAGGTGAGCTGATGTGGAGTGAAACACTTGACATTCTTCCATATCATCATCAGGAAAAATAAGTTGTTCTGCTACCTTTTGTTAACTGACCACATTCCAGATGTCCCATTTCCTACACAGCGGTACTAGAGGACTCATTTTTCCAGTGGGAAATTGCAAATCCAACGTTTTACTAACCAGATGGGTCCATGGCATCCATTTTTTATGTTGTGCTCAATCAGGGGAGGAGCCACATCCGTGCAGAGGTAGTGGTGGGCATCTGCTGTCAGCCTGAAGTACCCGTCTACCAGGGATGCAAAGGACAGGGCCTCATCATGTGAGGACAGCTTTAACTCCTGCAGCAAAGAGAGGTGTTAGCCAAGAGTCCTCACAGTTCTGACAAAAAACTTCAAGAGTGGTTTAATACCCAGCAATTTTTGCACAGAAATGACTACAAGCTGCCCAGAAACCTGCGTCAGACAAGCACACATATTTAGGGAGGCAACACTGAGCATTCTCTAGCCTCCCCGCTCATTACTGGCTAGAAACTTCCACCTTCCAGGATGACTTCTGTTTTGCTGGAACCCTATGTGAGATCCATAAGGAAAACTCTTGTGCCAGCCTTTGTGAAAGGCCAGAAATTCAGGACTGGGGACATGAAGCCAAGGGCCCTCTGGAAGCTCCTTTCCAAATTCTAACAGCTGACAGTCCACAGCAAGAACCACTTAGGACACTAAAATTTGGTATCTAAATCAAACCTCCTCTCCTTCCCTCCAGGTCCTCTCTGAATTGTCTCCTCTCTGCCATCCTTGCTGAGCTCCTCTTTCCTGATGCTGCTTTTGGCTGTCCAAGCTGTACAGAGGAAGGCCACAGGCTGAGAAGTCAAGGAGTCCAGCAGGTGGTTTGCAGCAACAAGTGGAGAGGAACAACTGTGCTCACCAGTTTGCTGCTCTTCAAACCAGCACTCTGGCACCTGCCCAGTGCTGAGGACAACATGTTTAGCTGTTACTTTAGAAAACGTTCCCCAAGGAGGTTGTCACCTGGTGCCCAACACCACTGGAGCTTCCCATGGGAGGGAAACCTGTCCCAGGTTTGGTTCTCACCATTCTTTTGTTATCCTGCTTGTTAATGCTGACTGTAGACTCCTTGATCACAATGTGGGTGATTTCAGGGAAGTAGGAGAAATTGTTCCACAACTCTTGAATTTTCTGTTTTTCTTCATCCTTTTTGTTTTTGCCATCAGATTTTTTCTTCTTCTCTTTCTCTGTCTGAGCAGACTGCAAATATATTTTGGATAAAAGCATAACATTAAAAACAGGGGGGGTTTTAGCACAGTGTTTTTACTCTGTAACAGTCATGACAAATTAATCTTGCAAAGCTATTTAATTCTTGAATGCTTTTTGCACTGAATTATCAATGCATTTACATGTTCAGTGAACCTGTATTGCAAGGATCATTTTATCACACACTTCTATCAAGAACTGCCCTCCAAACTACTGAAATTTCTTAATTATCTGCTTGAAGTACTCTCTCAGAATTCAGCATTCTTGTTGCTGTTCATGCCTAACCCAGCAGCAGCAGATGAAATCCTGCCTGCAGATCATGATGAAGCTGAAGGTCAAAAATTATTGAAAATTATTGGTAACAACATCATTGAAAGAAGATTAATGTTCAGGCTGAGCAAAGCTTCCTGCTAGTCACAGGGAAGTTCCAACTGAGATGAAAGTCTTTGGTTTAGACATTTAAATAAGTATAAATCAGCAGAAACTAGGGAACCTTGCAAGAAACAGGCTGCACTTCTTGTAAGCTTTTCTGCTCCATTATGAGTTCTTCCTGCCCTCACCCCCACATTATCATTTAAAACAGAAATTGTCCATCAGAGAGAGAATTAGGTGACATTGAAATGAAGTGAAGCTCAAGGCTTCCTGTGCTACAGCAGAGAGCTGGCAGTGGGCTTTCCATCACTGTGGGGAGCTGAGGCAAGCAACAAGAGGCTGATTTGTTCAAGTGTTCTATGTGCAGACAAAATCTCACTGATGTGAGAAAGCTTTAGTGTCACTGTGTCTTAACTGAGTCACAAGAACTCTGTGAGTATGAGCAAACAGGGCACCGGGACTGTCACAGTCAGGAAAAGCATCAATAGGCTCTGCCATCAAGACAGAGCACCAAGGCACAAGGGCCTTCACAGAGCTTGATCTTTCAGGACTTGTGTCTGGTCTGGCAGACACAGTAAAGTCTTCATTTCCCTGGTGACCAGGGTGCCCCCAGAGGTTGTGCAGTGTCCAGCCTTGGGAGTTTTCAAGACCAAAATGGATAAAGTCCTGAGCAACCTGGTTTGATCCCCAGGCTAACTCTGAACAGAGGGTTGGACAAGACATCTCTAGAGGTCCCTTCCAAATTGCACAATCCTATGACCCTATGAAAGTCCTTTCAACAAAAAGCTGATCTGCAGTGTCTGAAGATCATGACCATTGTTTTGTTACACCCCCCCAAAGCAACCCTCTAGTTTCCATTTATCAAGGGATACTTACATTTGGCTTGAGCCTCCACTGAATTCCATTGTTTCCTGTGACAATGATTTCGTACAGTGGGAGGATCTCATTGTCTCCACAATTAAATCTGTTTATTTCATTCTCGGAGGAAATCAGCAAAAATGGGGTCTCGAAAATTTCTGCTCCATAATGTTTAGTCAAGGTCTCCATCGTGGACAAGTATTTAACTTTCAGGTCACGTGGAGACACACTACTGTCACAAATGGTTTTGTTGTTAAACTCTTTCAGGAAATGCTTGAAAACGTTATTTATCCGAATCCTGGTTAAGAAATTCCTCTGTCTGATAGTCTTGTTCAAAGTTTCAGGAATGTAATGCTTGTAACTAGAAGGAAAACAATGCTATGAGTTAATACTGTTGTCTCCTCAACTTTTAACTCTTTAAAAACGTGCAACTGCCTTACTCTTGAGTTACAGCAAACCACTGTGCAGTTGGTACTGCAGCCCCTTGAAGGCGGAACCACTTCAAATCCCTTCTGGAGAGACGTTCAGCAGACCCAACAGTGACAAAGAAGTGATCCCAGCTCACCTGATGTCTTTGGGAAGCTCGGGAAGCTTCACGTTTTTCTTGATGGCATAGTGGGAGATTGCAAGGACAGCCATCCCCAGACACTCGTTCTCAATTTCATGGGCCTCTTGATCATTTTTAGGATCACGGATTGGTGCCAGGCCTTTCACTAAGTCATACTGACCCTTAATAGGAAGCAAAACAAGAAAACTACCAGCTTTGGTATTTGTCACAGTTGATCTCTACGCATGCATCAGGGCACAAGATCAGGGGCTCTTCTAGAGCAAGAAGAGTCACCCAAAACCAAAAGCCAGGACAGCAGCGAGTAGGAGAGGATGGGAAGAGCTGGGCAAGAGATGCAGTCTTCTCTGGAACCAGTGGGACAGAAACCTGGGCAAGCCCTGGTCACACAAACCCAGCCGATCTGAGAAGAACCACCAGCATCTGTGCCTGACATAAGTCTTTTAAAATGACAGTTTGAGAACAGGTGGAATCATCACAACCCATCCATCCCATGTACAGCCCACAGCATTGTGGCTTTCACCAACAACCTGTGAAGACACACAGGGACAGTATCTGCCCTGCTCAGACACTTCCCAAACCCCTGCCCCCTTCTTTTATCCATTAGCCCACCAAAAATTCACTTTGTTTGCAGCCACCTTGCTCTGGGACAGCCTGAGAAATAACTGGTTACCCAAGAGCAAAGACATTTCTGCCACCCTGTACTAGCATTAGTGGGTTTTTGTCGGACCTTTCTGAAATGTTATGACTCAAAAGTAAAATCCTGCTTGACCCAATATTGTCTGACAAGACCCATTAGGGTCCCTACTCATTCCACAACTGAAAAGATGCTTTTATTATTTTTGCTGGCACTCAAAAAAGGTGATGAAAAGAAAAAGGAAGGACAAAACTCAGTTTTACAGCTGTAAGTGTATATATTTTTAAAGTGTAGATGGGAGTGTTCATGTGAAATATGGTATAAGTTTGATTATGCAGGAAAAAAATCTGTGCTTCTTTTATCACTTTAGAATGCAAGTGGCACCATGAACATGCACACAGAGCTGTAGGTAACTTGGTGCTTCATTGTGGCTTCACAACAAAACAAACACTCACTGGAGCAGCTTCATGCTCTCCCTTTTTCTGCAGGGCACAATCATACTACAAAGACTGAAAATCCTGCAGTAAGTACACTCAGAATTAGCAGCAAACATGTTTTTCTCTGGTGCATTTCATCTGCTCATTTCACAAGCCTCCATCAAATTCAACCTCTCAACTTCTTTGGTGAAACCAGCCAGTTCCTGCTTTGCAAAACCCTTTGTGTGTCTGTGAACTTCTCTGAACAAGAGCACAAGTTTTCTGAAACAGAGACTCTGACTACTTAGCACCTACCAAGTGGCAGGCACAGCAGAAGGAAAGAAAACCTGTCTGTCATCAGGCTGGCAGTGATTTGACCCATTTTTTAACATCCCACAGGAAAAAAGACTCATGCAAAGGACACTGAACTGTCCCTTTCTATACTGCTTAATGTTCCTCTATTAGACTATAAAGGTCAAAGTCACTACGTGCAAATGTATTGCAAATAAAAGATGATGGTATTTATTGGCAAAACTAGCTAATATTAAAAGAAAACATGCTGTAAAACCAGAGTCATTTGTGGACTGTGAGATGGGCAGTTTCTTTACACTTTCTGCATATGGGTAGGTTGTTCTTCATGGAGCAAATTCTCCTCTCTCCACCATACAGGAGTATCAATAAGGTAAGGTTACATGTGCTTGAATAGTCTTAAAACAGGTCTTTAAAGCAGTTTCTACTGGATCAGTTTTTGTGCAGAGATACAGAATCACAGAAACACAGAGTCAGCACCACCAAGCAACCTCTTACCTGTGCAAAGATGTATTCTAAAGAGTTTGCGTCAAGTATGGGGGTTCCCTCTGGAGCCAGCTTCTTCTCATAACAGCTCTTTGCCTTCCTTGTTGAATGTCTCCACACTGAGGGTTCATTTTCACTAGTCCCATGCCAGTTTGTAAAGTAGTATCTTGCAAGAAAACAGGAATAAACTTTAAAACCTCTTGGGGAAACCGTCCTTTTGTATTCGATACATAATTTAAACTTTTAAAAGAAAACCAGTTACAAGTCAAAATCCATCAATTATCTGCCTTGAGGCTGCAAATTAAAGTGGTCCATTGCTGAAACTGCAGGTCTGGCCTGAGGAACTGGGGGAAAATGGTGTATTAGCCAAAGGTCTGGAGTGTCTCTACTCGACAGTACATCACCCTTCACTCAAGATGCCATGACTGACTGCCTGGTGTGGCCCACACAGTCCACTGAACAAAAAGACACCACTCAGGTGACAAGCCCATTCCCATCACCTCTGACATTGCTTGAGCAGTGTGAGAGACTGAAAAGCCTCTATTGTGCATAGACCCATGGCTGGTGGTTGTATCCCAAGAGAAAATGGCTTATGAGACCTTCCTTTCTAAGTTAAGTCCCCAGAAGGCATGTATCTATAGCAGGAGTAGGGACATGAACACACAACTATGCCAGGAACTACTGACAAGTACTGCAAGATACTGCAGAGCTCCTTTGGTTGGAGCATAAAAAGCAAAGCAAAGCAAATCCAATCCTTCTGCCTCCAGGAAATGACTTTGTTTCCTTATGCTCCTTTATAAAACCAGTGATAATTAATAATTCCTTTTTTTTTTTTTTTTTTTTAATTTCCTGAAATTCATTATGGGCAAGGTATTGTGTATTGTTTGTAACTGAGAGGAGAATTTGCTCCTTTCCCCATTAAGCTGCACTGATTATAACACTTAGAAGCTACAATAAAAATTAAGCCCCATTGTTTGAGGAACCACATCAACACAGAAGGAGAGACACTGCCTTGAGGAGAGCCATGGGCTTGGGGTGAGGGGGAGACAAACTCTCACTGTTCCACTTCCACAAGCACAAACAGGAGCACAAGGCATCCAGTTCAGAAGTCCTGCAAACCAGCCTGAAAGGAGACTCTGTGCTCCTGGGTTTCAGGAGCACAACCCACCTCTCCTTCCAAGCACCTACAGCATGGGTGGGAGCCAGTGGAGGGGAGGGATTTTGGGAGATAGCCCAGGCAGGTCAACCTGGGAAGGATCAGTTCTGCCCTTTACCCAGAAAATGGGAATGCTAGAGGGGGATCTGCTGTTCCCTTTCATCTGTAGCAGCCCTGATAGTCCTTCTTTCCAGAAACATGTGTCTTGGGTCCCTTCTCCACACCAAGAAATGCTGCCACCTCTGGCTCAAACACAACCCAGCCATGGAAGAGTTAAACTCCTCCATCAGCTGCTGTGCTAATTAGTCCAGGATGTTACAAAATACTGTGGTTTATGTTGTAGACTTTTTGGTGGTTTGTTTTGGTTTGTTTTTTTCACTTGAGGCAAGTGAAAGAAATATAAGGCTGGTTACAAAGCTTCAAGTGAAAAGCAAGTCCTTTTCAGATCTTACCAGAAGTACAGCAGCTGGCACAGATGTGATGGGGAGAGGAGGAGAAAGAGAAGCCTGCACATTCAGAAACCAAATCTAAAGCTTTCAGCAGTGGGAGAAAAATCAAACATCTAAATGTGTTTGAAACTACTCAGTCACATACCTTAGTTTTATAGATACAATTTTAATAGGACATGACTAAATCAAACCTATCAGTGGAAGGAAATTTCATAAATAAGGTTGTCCACATAAAAATGATTTAGTCTCTAAATGATTCTATACAGTCTAATACACTGCACTATTAAGTAAGCCCAGATCATTTTCCTTTTTCAAGAGAGATTCCGCCTCTTGCAGAGCTCTGAATAAACAATATCCATTCAGAGAACAGTTTCACAATCCTGTATTGCCCATAATTCTTCAGTCCTCAGCCATGCTCTCAGTTCAGATGCCCAAGCCAAGACACACAATAGATCAGAAACGAAAGAAAGGAAAATACCACTTCACCAATACACTACAGTATTCCTAAGGAGGCAGGAATCTTCAGATGTTATTGCTTAACTCATAGTATTTTCTTAAATGCATAAGAAATTATTTTAAATACATTTTCTTAGACCAAAGTTTGCCAGTTTTCATGAAGTGCAGCTGACAAAAGAGATGCCCCTGCCAAACTTCAAATCCCAACTCCTAAGCCTAAAAAAATAAACCACCAGAACTTTTAAATGGAGGAAGCAGGGCATTCTGCTGCTTCAAAATGGTAGAGCAGAAGAATTTCAAGAAAACAAAATTCAACATGGGAGTAATTTTGCCCCTGTGCCTAAAATTGGATAGAGTTACAAACACACACTGAGGATTATAAGACAGCAAACTGTTCAAGCAGGTGTAAAGAAGGTGGTCTGACCCACTGGGCAGGTAAGATGCAGCAGGAA